GGATTATTATAGCGAATATAACTCCTTCATCGATAATCCCACCAAAGAATGTGATATGGGAAAATACCTGGCCTCCCTTGAAATTCACATCTGCCGATTCATAATTAGATTTATTCATTCTATTACGTTTATGACAAGTTGAATTTTCCCACAATATGAGTAGGCCTTTGGTTTCCATTGGAAGGTATTATCATCCATGGTGGACTGCATTTTCGACGTTCTTGGTCCTATTAAAACCCACAACCTGGTGTCGGATTTGTTTTAAAAACAATGGCTTTCTTTATTAAACATTGAAGTTTACGTGCAAAATAACCATCTATCACTGATCCCGTCTAAATTATGACAATTTGTCTGAGTCGATAAATTGTGATATGACTTTCATTTCGAAGAAAAAGGACACCTAAAAAAAGATGCTTGGACCAGGGACACCAGCAGGAAGATATATCGTCAGGAAGCGTATTCTGAGGGTTGGCAGGGAAAAATCAAAGTCCTGCGAACGGCATCTAAAACAGGTAGTGAAAGTGGTTGCGCCACACCATCTTGGTCTTCATACCTTCCTTTTATATTCTATTTTTTGCTAATCCATGATATGCCCAGTTCTGGATATATTTTTGGTTAATTCAGATTTATTCTTGCGCATGATTCTGTATTCGTTGTAGTTATTTACCTTGTACACTCATTTTTTCGCCTGTTTATTCAATTTGTTACTTGATGACCATATTTAATAGCCCTACATGACCAAGCCAATTTGCTTTTTTGCTGAAAATATGACGATTGGGTGAAAGATTTTGCCTTTAGCTCTTACTATGCTCAAAGTAGCTTAAACGCTGGCCCAATAGTGCAAAGCATATATACGGAGAATGCTAAAATACACTTGAATAAGGGCTGTATTAATCGTAGGTTGCATAAGGCGATGGACTGATAATCGAATTTTTATGCAACGATATAAGTAGATATCACGACGCCAGTGAATTTAACTGCCACCACTTTGACTAGCCGGGTTTCGATTCCAGTTGGGAGTGCTGTTGAGACCCATACAAGATATAAACTTCAGTAAATTCTTGATGAAAATACATCCTTGAGGCAAAGCTAAGTGAACTTCAATGGCATAATGTGAGACCATACACTGTGGTAAAATCCAAATATCAGTCCATCACCTGATGCTATCTAGAGTGAATAAAGTTCTTATCCAAGAACTATAGCTATATGAAATAAGTTTGACTTGCTATACATTCTTAGACCACCTAAAGTCATATTATTCTCCATCCCTCATGCATAGCTTCTTACACTCAAGTTAGCCCTTTCCTTTCATGTAGCCTTCCGTATTATGAAATGTCATTTAACTGTTCTATAGCCAGCTTGCTTAGACTTCAGTGTAGCAGTAAAATATGCATCACAAAATATTAGATAGATTTGCGCATAGTGCAGCTTAAACTTTATGCTATCTTTTACTGCGTCGTTTTGTTTTATTTTCGTATCTAAGGCTATCAATTAACCCCTTTTAGTGCGAATTTTAGACAAACCGAATGGAGGCTACGTGCTTGCTCCGTGTGGTGCTCTTCAATATTTATTTAATCCAGCTTATTCTATAACTATTTCTTGAGTAATTTATTATTCTGACGCTCATGCTTGCCTCCTCTGAGCATGTTTTTGCATATAGACTAATATAATTAATCAAATGCTTCGTTTCGAAGTAGGTTTGCTGGACTATCAGTATATAGTTAATCTAACTCTGATTTAAAACGCCTTAAATTAAAGGGTTTGCTGTGCTCTTTTGACTTATTATGTTTATCGTACTTTACCGACAAGCTAAACAAAACCATCTCTGCTTCATTTTTACAAATATATTGTTTTTAAATTGTCTATGAAATATTGCTTTTGAATGACGTATAGCATATGTAGCTAGGAACATTTTGTAGTCTCTGATTAACTAGCTAGGCTTCTCGATGCGGCGTGGATTAAATTGAAAGGAGTATGATAATTCACCAATATATATACATAGTTAATTGATAGCCTTAGATACGAAAATAAAACAAAACGACGCAGTAAAAGATAGCATAAAGTTTAAGCTGCACTATGCGCAAATCTATTTAATATTTTGTGATGCATATTTTACTGCTACCTGAACATTACATACACATAATAGACAATAGTATAAGCTAAAACATGATTCAACATTAGGGGCTCGTACACTGGTTTATTCATATAAGGAAACAGCTCCTACCGAACGCATTTGCGGTTCGAGAAGTAACTTCATTCATTTGCAATTATTTAGATCAAGGTTGAAGTAGGCAACTCTATCATGGGATGCCTCATCAAAATCGCGAGGTTACGTGTATAAAGAAGTGACTAGGGTTGCAACAGGCCACCTTTTATATTGGTTTAGTAAAGTTTTGCTCTATTTCTAAAGTATGGATACCCGCTCTGATGATGTCTGTCACAGTACAGACGAAAGCTTGGCACATTTTCATCTGGATCGCAGGACGGTGAGCCGAGGACTTCTTCGTACAGTTCAATACTCTTTCTTAAACTGCAATCCTCCTTCGGTTTCTGGTGGACTACATCACGAATTGCTACCAACCAACTTATCCTTTGAAATGGAAAGTCATGTCACTATGTCACGAGAAATTCCTTGTAACTCAGTTTTTCTTCATATCTGAATGAGCTCAAACTTTTGGAATAGATACCATTGAGCCAAAATAAGCTTTTATCTTACCTCTACTTCTCCCATATACCGATGATTTAAAGCCAGCCCGACTTAATTAAAGTGAACTTTTGGTAAGTGGGAGTCAAATGGTAAGACCAAACCCTTTGCGTTCTTCAATAGCAAAGCGTTAACTGGCCCCCAAGACCCAGTGTCGACGAAAAGAGTCTTCATTCTTTAACAAAAATGTTTGAAGGCGACGAATTATTTTTTCTATTCTAATATTCATTTCTTTGTTTTCAAAGGATGTATGATATTCCCAAAACTCAAAAACGCTACCTAAGAATATGTGAAGTACATTTAATTTGTAATTAAGAAGATAAATGAATTTTTAATACATTTTTAACATCTTTCGGTCATTCGGATATTTCCGAGAGCCTTTTACATGACCCAACTTTAGTTTCCTGTCAGTTAAATGGGTAACCTTCAAACTTGTATCCCTCTTTCTCTTCTTTGCGTTTCTTGTTGCTCCTCATTTTAGGTGATCAGCTACTCTTCTACCATGATGGAGACGGCTGGAGTGGCTCCTTCGCACGGCGAATATTGCGTACTTGGGATTGGCCTTGTTAACGTCTTATTCACAGTGGTCTCGTTACCAATGCTTGAGCGATTCGGTCGACGCACTTTGCTTCTTTGGCCAACTGTATCTCTGGCTATATGCTTGCTGGCGCTCACAATCACTGTCAATCTTGCCCAAACGTATGCAAAGGATATTGTCGTCGGCAGGACAATGGGCGTAATCTCAGCTTGCTTGATTTTTGCTTATACCATCAGCTTTGCTATGGGTCTCGGCCCAGTTCCAGCTTTGATTGTAGCTGAAATATTCCGTCAGGGCCCAAGAGCAGCCGCTTATTCTGTTAGCCAGAGTTTACAGTGGTTATCAAACCTGATCGTTCTCTTCTCCTATCCAAAACTTGATGTAAGCAATAATTTATAATTGTAACGGCACCTTTCATTTTTATGTAAACTGGACAAATGAGATATGTGAAGACCAAGATGTTGTGGCCTCTGGTATAGACGTAGTCTCCTTTCGATTTATAGAAGTGGATTGACCTCGTCGCAACTTGGTCTTGTTGTCAGGGCGATTATGTAGAACTCACCTAGTCCGAAGTCGTCTGCCATACTAGTTGTCATGACTACCAGTATCTGACAGTGGACTTGATACATTTTCAAACGTTTCGCCGGCATCGTAGTCGGCATCATCAGTCAGCTTTGTCATTACGCCGCACCAACCTACGAACTCGTCAAAGAGACAAGTGACGAGCTCGTAGCTTGGTGCGGAGAATGGCATCACTCACTGATGCTGCCGACTACGATGCCGGCGAAACGCTTGAGAATGTATCAAGTCCATTGTCAGATGCTGAGAATCATGCCAACTACTATGGCAGACGACTTCGGACTAGTTGCGTTCTACATAGTCGTCCTGACAACAAGACCAAGTTGCGACAACGAGGTCAACCCACTTCTCGACAAA